AATAATAATAATAATAAAATCTGAAAGGTTTCAAATTTTAAATTACGTCCAAAGGATCTTTTTTTTTTTTTTAACGTTTTGTGTGTTACCTTTATTTATTAAATATCATATTCTTTGCACTTACACCATGAAATTCAGTTCAAGAGCAATTTCGCAAACTAATTTTAAAATAAGCGCCTATCTTTAGAATTTACGATACACAGTTCCGCGCTGGAGATAAAAAAGTTTTTTTTTCCTCCGTAGTGTTGCCATTGCTCGCTTTTAAATCGTTGAGTTTGTTACTCAAAAATTCGTTAAAGTTTTACAAATATGAAACTGATATTAAAACAAATTCCAAATTTCAAATGTGGTCTTCCACATGCCCATATTCGTAGGAGGATTACGTCATTTAAAATTCGATGGCTCTAGGTACCGTTGTTTTATCACAATGCGAGAAATATACCTACATTTATGCATATTTTTCATTATTTAAGTTCTTCATAAGTTCAAATATAATGCAGGACTCTAACATTTGGTGGCAACAGTTTGAAAAGTGAAACGGAGACTTTGATTAGTGATAAGCAAAATCGCAAAACGAAAATAATAGTCCTTCAGGGACAAAGCCCCTTTGGACTAATAAAAAATTTTAAAAAAAATATTATAATAAAAATCTGAAAGGTATAATTAAAAATTGCGTTTTTTTAACATTTTGTCTGTTACCTTTATTTATTAAATATCACGTTCTTCGCACTTAAACCATAAAATTCAGTTCAAGAGCAATATCGCAAAATACTTTTAAACTAAGCATATCCTTTAGAATGAGTCTCGTGCGCTGGAGATAAAAAATGTTTTTTCTGTACAGTGTTGCCATTGCTCGCTTTGAAATCCTTAATGTTTGTTAATCAAAAATTCGTTAAAATTTTACAAAATATGAAATCGATAATAAAACAAATTCGAAATTTTAAATGTGGGCTTCCCGATGCTCATATTCGCAGTAGGATCACGTCATTCAAAATTCGATGGCTCTACGCACCGTTGTTTTATCACAATGCGAGAAATATACATACATTTATGCAGATTTTTCATTATTTAATTTCTTCAAATATAATGCAGGACTCTAACATTTGGTGGCACCAGTTTGAAAAGTGAAACGTACATTTATAGTGAACCAACGTAAAATCGCAAAACGAAAGCAATAGTCCTTCAGGGACAAAGCCCCTTTGGACTACAGAGAAATTAATAAAGAAAGATTATATATTCATTTGAAAAAGACTTTCACCTCTTTTCAGTAAAACTGGGGGAAAAAAAGAATGACTAATTCTGTGTTTCTCGTCCAAAACAGCTGCATCAACCTCCTAGTGAGAAATGCCCCATGGAATGCTGGAAGAATTTTTATTCCAAATATAAAAATAGCATGTTATAATTTTCTTTTGCTCCTAACCCTCAAATTGCATCCGCATACTTTGAAGACGTTCTGTTGCCATAAGCTCAAAATAGCCGGCTATAATAATCACAATGCTCAGCTTTCAAAAAGGCATTAAAAATGTGTTCTTGGCGTATAAATCAACATTAATACTGGAAAATAAGTTCAAAACATGGCAGAGTAATATTTGGCACGAAGCCAAAAATCTTTTACGATTAAGACCATTACCGAAATACAAACCTTGAAACGAAATGACAACCAATAGGAAAAGATCTAGTTTTTTCCTTTCCCGAGGCTTTTCGAACTTCACAAAGTTATGCTAGAAGGTGCACCTGTCACAAAACCTAGTTCTGGAATAGAAGATGACTTGAATACCAAGTATACTTAAAGCGAGCAACAGAGCAGTTACAAAACAGCATTATTTGTTTTAAAGGCAATGTTGCTACTTTTGTAACATTTTGAAGCAAAAACATCAATTCTTTATAATGTTTACTTGCAAAGCAAGTTTTTTTTAATTTTTTATTTTTAAGAAAGAAAAAAAAAAAGAAAAGAAAAGGGAAAAAAAGCATAAAAAAGAAACAAATAAAAAATAAATGCGTAAAATCATGATGTATGTTGCTTGTAATGTTGGATTGGAAGGAGATTCGTAAATGCTTGAGATGTTTTTTTTTTTTTTTTTTTTTCTTTCTTTCTTTGCCAGAAACTTTGTTATCTCGCAATTTCTCAAATAACTTTTTATGATGAATATTCCACAGATAATATTATGAAAAGTATATCGTATTAGTCTAAATAGAAAAAGGTTTTATTTATTGCATTTATTTTACTTTACATAAGAAGAAGCTTTCACATATATCGAAGAAGGCTTTACAGCTGTTAAAAAGGTGGCTTGGCAAATGCGGTCAAGAGCAGGAGACTGACGTTAATTACGGAAGGGGAAAGTAAACGACTGTGTCAGGGATCATAAGGGAGATATATTTAAAAAAAAAAGTGTTTTTAGGTCTCATTCAGTATCAGTATATCAGAAATAAATGATGCACATGGTATCAGAACGAAGACAAATTACATACGATACGAAAAGTTATATTTATTTGTTTATTAACATTTCATTATTACATTGTTTTCGTTCAGGAATTTCCTTCCACCCCCCTCTGAGCAATACATACAGGTAAATGTAAGTCGGCTGAAAAGCACTGCTATAAACAAATAATCCAACCCAATTCCAGTTGAACTGCGCTTATTAATACTAATTGTTTACGGAAAGCATCTTAGTTTTTGAAAAGCTTCGTATCATCTAACATAAAATTAATTAATTAATCATCTTAAGAATGATTTTGTGTTGAATATGGCAAAACATATGAGGGTTGGCTAGGCATGATTTCATGGAGAATTTTCTAAGGAAAATGGGCTCATATTTACATACCTTAAGGAAATCCACGAAAATGCTTACACAAAGTGGTACGTTGCAGTAGGGTTCCTTCAATCCATCTGTTAAATTTGCATCTAATTGTCAAGTGCTCAATTTTTTTGGATAGTTTATACATTCAAAAAAAAAAAAAAAAAAAAAAAAAAAAAAAAAATACAAGTTACTCACTGAACTTCGCACGTTAGTCTGAATAACCTTTAGACCCGATGAACAGTATAGTTCTGTGACAAGGCGAGCTTTCTGACTGTACAATCTGTTTTACATTTAGCGAGCTTGTGCCGAATAAGTTTATTCGCTATTTTATGTAATTTCTGCAATATTTTGTAATTCTTTTATTTTTTTTCATCTGTCCTGTGTCGACCACTTTAGTTCAGTGATCCGTATTAATGTGCGCTTTTTTTAAAAAAAATTTAAATGCTTCAAGAATAATTAATTAGAAAAGGGCATAATTCTCTTCTTATCCTTAAATTCTTCAATAAAAAAAAAACTGCGTTTTCAGCTATAATCAAGTGAAATAATTTTCTAAATATAATTCAAAGCATGAAAAATAAGGTACATAAACAGCTTGGAAATGGAACTAGCATTGAGATTCTCTTTAAGAAATATGGTGAAGCTTAACAAAAAGTCTACGAAGTGAAATAATTTCGTAGAATATTTTCTAACTCTTTATGATTAAATTGCACTCAATTATACTTTATAAACGACATGTAAATACTATTTAATGTATATGTGTGGATGTGTGTGTGGCTCACTAGCGGCTGAGCTGTAAAGTCGTTGAACTCTGGCAGGTCGATCCAGGGTTCGAATCCGGATCGACGGGGATGGCTGTATTAGCGTTTTCGAGGTTTTCCCCACGTGTAACTTGCATAAGAGTCAGTTTTGCTTAGAAAGTTCTCCACGAGGCACCCTTACCCTTAGGCAAATAACCGTCGAATGCTTTGCTATAATCAAACAAACCAGACCAAACAATAGATATATAAATAAGTAGCTTAAATACTGCTATATTTTATGTATACTCGTTAAGTAGTATTTCAATATATATAATGATTAAAAGAAAGAAAAGGTCGGATCCTAACTGATTGTATATAATGTAATCCCTATGAAGGCCCTAACAATTCTTTTTCACTTAAAGTCGTAACCCAAAAAGAGAACAAATTAAACTTCAGATACGTATACAATACTGAACCTAATACAAAAAATACAAAATATAAAAATAAATTATATATGTACGAAACCTAACTAACTATTTATATTGATATTACGTAAATATACGTATGGTAATGAACATTGTATAATAAAGATATTTTATATCTTTTGGTTATATTTTTGGTTCCATTTATATATTTGGTTCCATTTATATATACCTATACATAAATATTATATAATTTAAGGATTCCGTTTAAGGATTATAGTAGTAGTTAATACTACTACATATAAAACACAAAAGTGCATCAATAATGTATTTCTCAGTATTATTTAACTTCATTCTTATGAATTTTCTGCAGTCTAGTTTGCGTTATTTTATTCATAAGTCTCAAATAAAAACAATTATTGTTTATATGCCATTAGAAAATTAACCAAAAAGCAGCGACCACAATGTAATTGAGAAACAGTCCTTAGCCGTGAAAAGGTTGAAAGCCATTCGGTTATGAGTATTATCTCACATACTCAGCTACTTCGCATACATGGAACATAGCATTCGAAATGAAAAACTCAATATTTACTACAAATTCATTCGTGTAACAAATATCTGTCTTTCTACACCTATGGCTTTAAAAAAAGATGTTATTTATCTTACAGTTTATCGTTAAGTAATACATTTTCATTGTACAAAATTGCATTCATTCGAAGAATTCAATTTGTATTTTCCTCTGTATAAAACTGAATGTAGAGAAGTTAGATGTTTAAACAACCCCCACAATTTCTTAAGATCCCGAGCGAGATTTTCCGCTCCTTGTCTGCTCTTCCCCTGAAAAAAGGGATTGTAAATTTACGACCTGACCGCATATAAGGGTATTTCGTTAGAAACTGTCACATTCCCCCTGGCAGTGCATATTCAGCTGCAATGGGAAATGTGTGGTTTGAGTCTAGGCGATACCTCTGTTGACTTTTCATGTTTCCTACTTCGAACACTCATAGCAGTTTGTTAAAAGACTGTCTAAGGCGAACCTGCACTTTTTAGGCCGTTTTTACACCCAAAAATAAAGGGTTTTAAGGCTTGTATGCAAGATGGCCCGTCGTATGAACCTGATACGTTGCAAGCGTTTAACAAGAACGATAACAAACTTCGAGGTAAATATTAACAAATATATTTTTCTTGTCACAAAAATTGAGGAATATATGATAATATATAGCGAACCCTCTCTAAACCGATTCTTAATGATTCCACACGGTTTCGATTTTCCATGAAAATGATCATTATAGAGAGGCGATAGTCTTACAGGAGGTAATACCAGGCGGTTAAATACTCACAGTATCTTGATACATTTTTGAAATGTTAGATTGCGCATGTAAGATATATCCGGTTTCAGAACATAATTTTAAAGGAAAAATATCGTCTTAAGCTAAGAACGATAAAATAACTAAAAATCTTGAATGTTACGCTAAATTAATGTCATTATTATTATTATTTTGTAGCAGTATTACTGCATTACGATGAATCTTTACAAACGGCGTATCACATTTCAAATTGTTGCCACCAAATATTATCGCCCTGTATTATATTTAAAGAACTTAAATAATGAAGAATCTCTGCATGAATGTGTGCATGTTTCTCGCACTGTGAAACGACGGTACCGAGAATCTTCAAATTTTGAATAACGTAATCCTCCATCCGAACATGCGGGCACCCGGAAGCCCGAATTTTGAATTTCGAATTTGTTTTATTACCTGTTTCATAAATTAAAGCTAAGAAGACCAGAAAAAAGTTTAATAGGACTGAATGTAACACAGGACTGGTAGAATGCGAGCTCAGCGAGAGCGTAAAAAAACCTTAATAAACCCTTTTGGGCGGCAGTTAAAATCTGAAAACTTTCGTATTATTATTGTCATTATTTAGTTCTACAATAAAGAAAACTAGGGCAAAGGTAATGTTATTCAGGAAGATTTTATTGAGAGAAAGCTGTTACAAAGTTGAAAAATCTGCTTACGAAACATTAAGGATATCGCATGTTTCACAGACACTAAAACTAAAAAATCTGATGTGTACACCACATGACTTCCTTGCACGGAATATTAAATTATACTTATTTTTTCTTGCATTTTATTTAAACTTATTAGATTGAATTAAACCTACTTCGCCGATAGCGCATAAACCACAATAGAATAAATGCATTCTTCAAAATTCACTTTGTTTACCATAGCGACACTCTGGCGCTAGGTTTACTTAACAGTATTATATTTCATTCATATTATAACTCAGAATGCACAAAATGTATATCATTTAAAGAATTATCTAATCGTTGCCACATGTTCTATTCAAATACTATAATAAAGCTAGAACTATGTCTAAAAGAAATTAAGCAAATAAAACAAAAAAGAAACAGTTTTTTCACAGACGATTGAGTATTTCTCATTTAATTAATTCAGTTCTTGCTTCGCGAGAAGGCTATATTAAAAATTACGAAGTAAATCTCAAACGCTTATTTACTCGAAAAAATTCCAGAAAGAATTAAGCATGATTTAATTGGCAATAATAAATGAATGCGTTATCTTTGCTGTTGCGAAGCTAAGTTTCTCTAGATTGGCAACAAATCCATTAGTCTCCTGTTTCAAATGTAAACATCAATGGCCGCCATTAAAAACAGGCTTAGCGGCAATTAAACAACTTTAAAATTGCTGATAATTCTAAGAACATTGCACACAGATTTACTAAAGGCATAAAATCCTTAACCGGAAGATAAAAGCAATATAATTCAATCGTTTTTAAAGAAAAAAATGTACAATTTACAAACATATAAGAGTAAAGAAACTGAGATCACTGAGCCGGGTAAAAGAGTGGATATATATATAAATATATTTATATACGTTTGGTGCGGCCGATTGCAACCAAAATACGAGGTGCACATCTACATGTTATAGCAGTCCTATATACAAAATTTCAACGTTCTGAGGCTACTCGTTTTTGAGTTATGCGAGATACGTACGTACGCACATACGTACATACGTTCGTACAGACGCCACGAAAAATTCTCTTCAGAATTAATTTTAAAGCAGTTTTATAATTTTTTTGAAGGAAAAGAGTCTTTTATTCTGTCCTTACGTACAGATATCACGCAAAAACATCGTTAAATTGCATTCGATAGCGGTCAAAATGGATATTTTCGTTGAAATATGCTGCCTGAAACTTTTCGCGATTACAATACTTCCTTTTTACTTCGTACAAGGAAGTAAAAAATGAAATGTTCTTGCAAAAGATTTGAGCGTATTTAGGGAATACAAATAACAATATACGAGGGCTATCCAGAAAGTAGATTACGTTTTGGAATAAAAAAATAAACAAAGTATAGGAAACAAATTTTATTATATACAGATGAAAGCCACACTCAAATACTACTTTTCTACATAGTCACCATACAAATTAAGGCATTTATCGTAGCGATGTACGAGCTTGGAAATTCCTTCGTCGAAAAATTCGGCCGCCTGCGCCTTCAACCACTTCGTTACCTCTTCTTGCTTTTCGCTGATGATTTCGTGCAACAAACTTCGCGAAATTTGTGGAAAAACTCAAAGAAAGTTCCGTTATTGTGAAATTTCGATTTTCACGGACTTTAGCATCGACTTTTTCGAGAAGTTCGGCGGTCACTATGCTGGGTCTCCCACTTCGATCTTCGTCGTGAACATTGGTTCGGCCATTTTGAAATCTTATGACCCACTGACGCACTCCACCTTCAGTGATAATGTTGTCCCCATACACTTCACGAAGCTGCCGATAGATTTCTATCGGTTTACAGTTTTTTGCAGTCAGAAACCTTATTACTGAGCGCACCTCGCAGCTCGCGGGATTTTCAATTAACGCAGACATTTCAAACCGTCACAGTATCTGAACGGAGCACAGCACGAACCTCTCACTAGCACGGCTAGATGCAGACTGAGCTGCGCAACGCTCTGACCCCAAGATGGCCGCGCTAGCCCCGCCCCTAGCGGACACAGACGGAAACGTAATCTACTTCCTGGATGGCCCTCGTACACTAGAATCGTATGTATTTTAGCACATTTATAATTTTTCAATTCACCCTCTTTCCCAAATTGTCGAATAAGAAATTTCACTGCAAATTTTCAAATTAATAACAAGGCATTAAAAACAATGAAAATAAATCCAGATATAAATGATGAGACTTTTAAACACCGCGCTGCAGAAATAATCTTAGATAAATAAATCGTATACAGTATCGCGCAAAATCGATTTAAGCAATAATCATTGAAAGAATATACGGCGCTCGGTTTCTCAAGCCATATAAATAAGTGAAATCGTAGAAATGAAGAGCATTAACCTCATTACCATATGTGAAAGGGGAAGGGAGAGGGGCATGTATGATTTCTTTTAACTTTTGCTACGGTGTCTTTCCAATTTTAGAAGACTGTTGCATTACACTATGGTACCCGAATGTTTATTATTTAATTACATGTACTATTGCGCGAGACATAAGATTTTTCACTTCTACACGGCTTCGCATCAAGTCACAGAATGTTGTATAAAGTCTTTTGTATAATTTGCGATAGCTTAACAAGCTGAACGATTTAAAAGCAATAAATAGTTCGTAATAATTTACATCTTTATTTTTAATAATCGATATGATTTGAAATACATTTAATTCATAATATATATAACGAAATTCTGATCGGTATTTACAGCATTATTGTAATTAATAAAAGATGTATCTAACGTCATACATTACATACTTCGGTAGAGAATAATTGAGAGTAACTGATATTTTAATAAAAAATTTTTTTAACTTGAGGAATTATTGAAATTATTTCTGTGCTAATCATAATATGAGAGGTTTATATGAAATGTATTCAGTTATCAAAATTTCTCAATCAAATTTCGGATTCAAGCATAAAAAAATGTATAAATACAGCCAAAATAGCTACAATGATGAAAAAACTGATTTCAACATATAAACTGGCTTTTGTAATAATTACCCTACAATATTCCATCTGATTTTTTTAAAATTTCTACTGAATATTATTTAGATCTCCATGTATAGCGCTAATATCTTGCCGGTGTTAATTTTTTTTTTTTTTTTTTCTTTTTCAAATTTCGCAAAAGAAAATGGCGCCTGTCGTTTTTGAGAGGAATTTCTTATCAGTAAAATGTGTCAAAGAAAAAATAGTTTTAATTTTAAGTTTCAGATTTACTTAATATAAACGCTAATTTAAACCACCGAACAAATTAAAATCCCGTCTTTACCTTTCAATACTAGAACATTAATTTTACAGCCTAATATCTGGATTGTGTTTCACGACTATAGTCTGTTACTTTCGAACAGGCACTTCAAGGCTATTTCTTTTCCCCAAACCATGACTCATTGCCATGACAACGACTGCTGCGAAAAGCACGTCCAATCCTCTAATTAGTGAAAAATTGCACAATTTCCTCTAAGCAGCAATGACGATCGTAAACAAGGGGAGGGTCTCTATGACTCTGAATAGCCTGTTTTAAAGTAACAGATTATAGTAAGTTAATTTTTAATTAGAGACAAACTTATCAGCCTGTGCAGCAGCGCTAAAGATAGACAGTAACAGAGGAGTTTCACTATATAGGGGCGACTGTTGGGAAGAATTTAGATACTCGATTATCCTTAAAACTCGCTTACTGACATATTCTGCTAGAATAAAAGGCATAGTGAGAGTGCAGGAAAGACTGATAAGAAATAACGTGTTAATCAAAACTTTACATAGTGAACTTCTTCAGCGACAGCTACATATGGTTCCGGAGAAGTGTGGTCCTCTGTGGAAATGGTAGCCTTAGAAAGGTGAAGTTCAATTCTAATGCTTATTTACATTCTTAGAAATACTGGTTACTTTCAGAGGTGGTCTTCTTAAGAAGATGCCCGCCCCGACAGGGTACATTTTATTTCATGTGCTAATTTTTTTGCTGAAAATTGAAACTTCTACAGATCTGTAGAAGGTTAGCAGTTTTGATTAAATTACCTTTTCGCTAAACATATGGGGTAAATTTTTCCTTCTCTTTGCTTTTTTTTCCTTTTAAGTACCTGGATGGGGTATTATTTTCTCACACACGCATGAAACGTTATTAAAAAATAATGGGTTATCAAACCTAGCGACGC